CTTAAAAAGTCCGGGATCCCGGGATTAACATTTCTACTGAGTATACTATTGCGTAGCAGGGTGGGGAAAAACTCGCTCGCGAATGCTTAAAAATACGATCATCTCATTTTAGCTCGTCTTGCGATTGTACTTTGCCGCGATAAATACTTGAGCAAACGAGCGTTCGAGAAAACATTGCCTGCGTTTTCGTTGGTAAGAGATCCCAAAAAACACAACGAATTCGCCTCGAATTCGAGACGAGCTCGTTTTATCTGACAGAACTATCGAGACGATACTTCGCGGCGATAGATAGGCGAATTCGCTGGCGATTCGAGAATTTTGAATTTTTTGAATCGTTGGAGATTCTATAATTTTTATTTTTCGAATCGTTGGCGTTTCGAGAATCATTAATTTTTCCACTCGAGATTTCAGCTCGCTGGTGGTTTGAGATTGTAATTTTTTTCGACCCAAGTTTTTTAGGATTTAAAAAACTAGCTATCTGAAAATAATTATATAATGTAAATAAATAAAATGTAAAAAAATGTGCGAAAATTATGAGTTATTAATCAAGTTATTAAAAATGTGAATCCGTATTAAATTTTTAACAACATAATTAAACAGTAATTTTTGTTATACATGTTAGATTTGTCCGGCACCGTGTTTCTTGTAATTAGATTTTTTCTTTAGTCGGTCTGCGCTATATTGGAAGAATTTCTTGGATACTTCATCCACTAAATTCATCGAAATATCTTTGAATGTTAATTGGAATACAGCTGAAATATAATAAAGTGGAGTTAAAATTAATAATTTGTTCGCTTAAAACCCTGGGCTTATCTGAGTGTATGATCACTCATAAATTATTTTCTTGATTGTGCCTCGAAGACGATGCAAGAAAAAGGATCAGTCCAAAGCCTTCGTCTTAACCTGCAGGCTGTGTAGGCTGAGTGTCACAGCCGCTAAACTTAAACGTAGAATACGTAATATTATTAAGATCACATTCAAGTTAAAAACGGTGCATGAAATATTCGTTTTGATTGTATTGAATTGAATTTAATAAATCAATATGAATTGCAAAATATTAATACTTAGAAATAAAGAAGTAGATCCACATGAACTTCAATCATATGTACCATCGGTAAATAGATATATGCCATTACTTTTCATATTAGCCTAGGTCCCCGTATTAGTATTCTTCTTCGAGTTCATGCTCGTCTTCGCATTATCTTCGTCTTTGGATTTGTGCATAAATTAGCAAAGACTTCTGAAATAGCTGGCAGCTCTCCTAAATATAGTTAAGAAATAAACATATCTCTAGCGTCTGATATTGTAATACCTACATAAATATTTCATGCGCCTGATGAATTAAGTTAAATTTGATTTTTTAAATACGTGACAAAGTTAAACCCATTTCATTTGATACCCATTTTTTTAATAATTGCTTTAACTTATTAAATAATTTGAGTTTACGTTTCTACTAGGTGGCAGCCCTCTTTACTAATCTAAACATTTAAACTAAGGATATTTTGCCACCTTTCCCGATATTTTTCAATATTTCATTTAACTCATGCAAACTTTATTTAAACACTAATTTTTAAACAGGTGGCAACCCTATTCAAAATATTTTCAAACCACAACCTCTTTCTTCTGACATCCATATCAGGAATGTATTTTCAATTTTCTGCCTTTATTTAGTCGAACTTGCAACCCTCCTACATATGTGTCAATAAGAAATAAAGCCTTTTTAAACCCATTTCGATCGATACTCTTACAGCCAGTTTCACCAAACTATTTAAGTGGAAATTAACTTTGATTTAATTTTGTATTTAATTCTCATTTAAATAATTTTCAGTTTCAATAAACTATTTATTTAAGTGAGTAAAAAGTGGTTGTAAAACAGACTAGGACTAGCTTTCGCTTTCATTTGTACTGAGAGCTTTTGAAAGCTTTGGCACGCTGTGTTGTAAAAGCAGGGCTGGTATACAAGTAAGCAGCAGTTACACAATGATCAGGTGATTAAACGTGTAACACCTCTGAGTGTGGCTATTCTGATTTAACTTTTATTTAAGTGCAGAGCATAGGTCACTTAAATCAAAATTAAAATTGATTGGTGAAACCGAAAATCCGAAAATTAAAGTTAATTTCCACTTAAGTAGTTTGGTGAAACTGGCTGTTAGTGTATAATTGATTTAACTTAAAAATAATTTGAATTTAATTTGTTTTATCAGGTGACAACTCTTTTTGAAAAAATAAGAAGCTATTGCACATCTACAGGCCAAGCCCTTTAATTTTATACCTCATTTTGTAAAATGGAACTAACATTACAGATCTGATGTTATGACAAAAAAGCTTTCGCGTTAAATACAGCGACTGCTTTATCGATCACATGTTATATGCATGATGTCGAAAACGTCGACAATGATGTTAGTAGGGGTCTTCCCTTAACCTCGTAAAAGCCTCGCGAACCTCGTAAAGCTCGTAAATTTACGAACCTCGTAAAAGAACTATCAAAATTTGTATGGAGCTCTATTTACGAGCCCCACGTAAAATTACGAGGCAAATTTGATGCGCAAACGACCTCGTAAACTTCAGTGTTGCCGAGGGTCCAAAATTATTATACTAAAATGTATGATAAAATAATGAATATAAATGAAAACAAATAATAAGCGAATAAAATTAATAAATTTCATCCACTAACTGTATTGACTTGGGTTTTCTGCTAATTTTCGGCATTTTCAATTGTATTTTAGCCGAGAGTGATAGATACAAGATGGCGGGATGTTATGGAAAATACTACGAAACAAAAATTGCTTCACAACATCCTGATTGATCTGTCAAACAGCCACGTGACGCACCTATTTACACCTATTCACAAAGGGGGCGTTCCCATAAAAGCCTCGTAAACTACGAGGTTTACACAGTTTAAGACTTTACGAGTTTAAAGGAATCCCCTAAATAATGGAACATTTAACAACCGGCCGTAGGTGTTGCCGTGCGTGTAAAACGAAAACGCTACACAACCCAATAGTACTCCTCGGGGACCAGTTGGTGAAAACTGCGAAAAGGTTTATTACTGTATATACTATGATCGTTTCAAGTATTTATCGCGGTAAAAAGCAATCGCAAAATGAGCTAATATGAGATCGTATTTTTAAGCGTTCACGAGCGTTCGTTGGTAGAGCGTGGGTAAAAAAGTCTTTGAATTTAGTATATTTTGATATAAACGAAGGCAGGTTACTCGCTTTTTATACCCGAGCGCACTTGTGCACAATGGTATTATAACTTTGTTCATAGAACGGTTGTTTGTAACAGGAAAAACGAATCGAGATAGATATACACAAATGTATAAATGGTCAGAATTAAACGAGAAATCGATTAAGCGGTGACTGTCTGTGCACACAATAACTCGAGTAAAAATTGAGATATCTTAACGAAACTTGGTACGTGCACTTCTTTCGGGCGTAGGACGGATGACAATGGACAATAACCACGCCTACCTCCCATATAGCGGGAATTTTGAGGTATACGAAAACTGCGATATTTTAGTAACTATTGAAGATTATTCACTCAAAATAGATATTTACAATAAGTTTTAGACGAAAAATAAGTATATTATAATTTTTTGGAAAATGGGCGTAGCCACGCTCACTTCTGGTTACATGTGTATATCTCGGTAACCGCTGCACCAATTTTTCCAAACTTGGCACAGTTGATGGCCTTGGTACAACATACCAAATGGCCGAAAATTTTTAAAATCGGACAATAACCACGCCCACATCCCATATATCGGTAGTTTAGAGAAATACGAAATCTTCGATAAATCAGTAAATATTAAAGCTAATTTATTCAAAATTGATGCTTATAACAATTCTTTACCAAGAAATACGTTTATGATAAAATTTTGCAAAATGGGCGTGGCACCGCCCACTTATGATCACATATATGTACATATCTCCGTAATCGTTCTACCAATTTGTGCCAAACTCGGTATGTTTATTGTGCTTGCCACATAGAAGCAAAACGTTGAAACTTATTGAAATTGGAATACAATTACGGCCGCTTTTCATATAGCGGTAAATTTCAAAAATGCTTGAAACTTCAATATTTCGAAATTTAAGGACGCTAATTTACTCAAAATTGATACACCCCGGCTTACTATGTAGCTTTCGAAAAGGTGAAAAAGAAATATTTAATACTGGTGCCGGGTATTTAATGTTCGGCTCTGCCCGAACTTAGACTTTCTTACTTGTTTGATATACAAGTAATTTTTAGCAAAAAAAAAACCGACTTCAACTCTCATATAAAAAAATATATATATATATATATATATATCTCATGATCCGCTGATCGGATCTTAACCAGATTAGTATGGGACCACCTCTGAGACACTACCTTTCCGATGCAAAAGAATTATCGAAATCGGTTGACGTGGTCCAAAGTAATGCGGTAACATACATAAAAAAAAAAAAAAAAAATATTCCGACGAACTGATAACCTCCTCCTTTTTTGGAAGTCGGTTAAAAAATGGGCAAAGTATCGAATATTAACAAGACAAAACTTGTTACATATATAAAGGCACACATTTTTCGAAGTGACTTTTGTGCGAAAAATATCTTAAAGCGGGCATGTTAGGAAACATTAAAAGACATTACGAGACCATATACAAACACAACTTTGATGAAAGCGTTCCATCTACAAGCGATACTAACGTTTCCAAACGCCAAAGTTCTAACCGATTTGGTATAAAATAAAATAAAACAAGTTTTTTAAGTTGGAATGGTAACTGTGAAAAACATTCCGTTTCGACTTTTCGATAACGAGCTTTATTTTAAGCAAACACTTGGACCCTTTGAAAATCAATTTAATTTTAAATTAAATTAAAAAAATATTGTTGAGCATATACATCTGTTCGCAAATAACATAAACAATCTTTTGAAACAAAGTTTGTCCAAGAAAATGTGTAGCTTAAAAGCTAAAAAGAATGGGGAAGAGTATATTGGGAATAAATATCCAATATATTAAAGGTTTAAAAATTGTGATAAACAAAATTGGCATGATATATTTGAAAAATAGGCATACAGCACATTTTTTAAAAGAGGAAATATAAAAATACTTGCACGAAATTGATATTGACCTTAGGGTCATTCCATTGAAAAGAGGAAAACGACATAAATT